AATCTGAAGTTTTAATCGTCAAAAAAAAAAAAAAAAATCCGGAAAAAAATTTTCCTACCCTTAATTAAAAAAACCCCAGGATGGCAACGTATTTTGGGGGGACCCACCTATACAAACAGATCTGGGCTCGGCCAGAAAAATCTCGCGACCAATTCAGTTTCCGGAGCATTTTTGTTATTTATTTAATGTGAAAAATTCAATCTGTTTGACGACTGCGGGTCGTTCCTAGCCCCTTTTCCACTTTGACAGCTCATCCTGGACTCCATGCCACTAAACCGGAAGAGAATCTCGCAGTGTATATTTGACGTTTATAAAAACTTGTTCAAATGAAATAAAATAAATAATTGTTCAACGTTATCTTATTCAGTTATTTTAAATATATTTAAGAGAACTTTAAAAAAAATATTTATTGTTTTCTTACTTGTACGACGATGTGTACCAGGGACAGATGATTCAGTTTTTACAAGCGCCAAATTTAAATCACTGAAAAGCCATGTCGACAAAGAGCCAAACAGTTAAACTAAGCGCCCTTATAAAGCACTATTTTGTTTGAAAAATATATCTTTTTATTGATCACGTATAGTAACATAAAATTGTACATGAAGTTTTACATGCATTTTTTTGGTTCTTTTCTTCAATATTACGTCATATATTCACCTCGGAGTTCACTTCCGGTTTAGTGGCATGGAGTCCAGGATGAGCTGTCAAACTGGATAAAAGGCCATGAACAGCCCGTAGTCGTCCAGCAGATTTGATTTCTTAACTTGAATAAATAGCACAAACACTCCGGATACTGAATTAGTCGCGAGATTTTTTCCGACCAAGCCCAGATCTATTTGTTTAGGTGGGTCCCCCCAAAACACGTTGCCATCCTGGGGTTTTTTTAGTAAAGGGTAGGAAAAATTTTTTCCGGATATTTTTTTTTTTTTTTTTGACGATAAAAACTTCAGACTCCTGTGGTATAAATATAGTCATGTGTCTTTTCCAATCCGCACAGAAAAGCACGCCGGGTATGTTTCATCTACTTTATTTAAATAAAACACAACTTTCTGACTCAATGAGGGGGAGGGGGGGGGGGGGGTTATCATTTGATTTTATTGAAAGGGTGGTCCCAGGTTACACGTATTCCTGTTTTCAATTTACAGTCTCTTTTTGTCCTCAATGACCAATGACAAATGTTAGGGGTTCAGGTAACCCGACTTAGCTATGTACTCGTAATCGTGCCATTTACACAACCTAATTTTTGCATTATTGTTCATATTTATCTAAAAATTAAGTATAATGAATTTATTCTACATTGTTTGAACTTTCGTATGATGTGTGTGTTATGTCAATCTGAAAAGTTTATTCTAAAAATTAACCGGATCGAAGTTGTGCTAAAATTGGATGCGGGGTTTTCCCTTTAATGATGCTTGTCTCCGCGGCGTTGATAGCGTCATTTTGATTGGCTTTCCGGGAGGCGTTTTTTTCATATTGAAGTACAAGTTTTGTAAACATATAATATGGTGTCTGATAACACATGGATAGTATTGATGCTCAATTTTGTTGTTGTTTTTTTTGTTTGTTTTTTTTTGTTACCGTGACTACGTGAAATAATACAATTTTCAAACTAGCTTGTGGTGTTATTTTTATTCGACGTAGGCAATGTTATGAATATTGATGAGATTATCTGGCAACCAATGAGAATGAACGTCAGCCGGTAAACAAGTAGCGTCGAGAAAGTCACGCCCTACTGAAAGTCCAAAGATAGGGTAAAATTAATCGGTCTAATATTTTTAAACTATTTGTTTCAATGCGACTTACAAGCGGCAGGCATGTTCAAGAAACTGTCCTAAGATTTATCCTAAGATATGACTTAGGAAGAAAGTTAGGAACATCCTAAGATCAACTTAAGACATATCATAAGATATATCTCGAAGTTAACTTAGGAACATCTTAAGTTAGGACATCCTAACTTACAATGAACACTTGTTTCTTAAACATTTATCGATAAATATAAAATTTTGGAGACATTTATAGCAAAAAAAAAAAAAAAAAAAAAAAAAAATACTTAACTTTACATAAGGAAATCCATTTACATGTACAGTGTACATGTGACCTCAGTAAAATTTGATGTTTGCATTTTTTAAATTAGAAGATACTAAAAGTATTTAGTACCGCTTATAAATCGCATTGAAAAAAAAATTATAGTTAAGATTTATAGTTTAAAAATATTATTAACCTCTCGTTGATGTACCTTGATGATGATTATGATATAAAGTATAGGCGTCGGAAACGGGGGGGGGGGGGGGGACTAGGGTCTCACCCCCCACCTTCTTTTGCAAAGACAGACATAATATAGGCATTGAAAATTGGGGTTTACTTTTTCTGTTGGTTTAGCCCCCCTACTTTCAATTATAACCACTCCAATTTCAATTTTGCTTTCAAACGCTTATGTAAAGTATGTGTCATTTTTTAAATAATTAAGCTGATTAAAAATAAAATGAGTTTTGTAGGACACGAAAAAAAGTATTCAAAGAAATCACTATTTAAAGCCGACATTTTTCCCTCGAATATTGCAATAGTTTAAATATTTGAATGACAACTGTTCTAAATTTTGTATTAACTCAATCCTCACCTTCAATTTTAATTAACGAATACCCCCCCCCCCCCCTTCCTTCAGCCCACATACGTGTATTAAATATGTTTTTGTGAATGGAAACTTTTCTTGTTTTATGTCAAAGTTTTTTTCCCGAAAATTTTAGGTTTTGGCAATTCAATTAATATCCGCCCTTCTTAACTTGAAAAAGTGTATAACGTAATAAAAAAAAAAATGAAATATTCAGGTGCTTCTTGATGAGGTGGAAAATATAAATATAATCTCTGTATTAAAACTATCGAAAATTGTAACATATGTTGCAAAGAAGAGGCCTTTTGGTAACATTTCCTTATTTGTAATTATTTGTGTAAATCAACAGCTCATACACGGACTGCTGAGAAACAAGATATTGTCGCTTATAGTTGCAATGTTCAAAATCAAAAGCATCACAACAAACTTAAGAGAATCTTAGGACAAGCTTTATGTTGTCCTAAATTTAGGGAAAACTTAGGCAAGTTCCTAAATTTAGGAAAGCTTCTAGAAATTGACTTCAGACTAGGACATTTCCTAAGACGTTCTTAGGACACACCATAGTCCTAAGATAGCTTCGTGAACATGCCTACAGGACTATTTCCCGAGGCCTGCTGGTCGAGGGGAACTGGAATCTTGATAACTCGGAATTACTCCCTCAATGATACACATGTACTTTTTAACAATATTGGCCTTTTAACTTTCAGATTCAATTATTGTCAAACTTCCTAAATCCGTCACTACCCTAACTCCGTCACTTTCGGGAAACTACGCGCTGTTTCACAGTTTGTAAATAATCTGCATGGAAGCAGACCCAAACTTTGGAATGTTTAGAACCCTTCATAACAGTGTTGAAACTATCAAAATTGGGAAATTCAACTTTTCGTTCGATGATGTTCCATATGTAAAATCCTTTCTCGCCAAGCCCTGGATTATCTCGCCTTCGTCTTTGGTACAAACCTGCAGTTTATGTCAAGATGTATTATAGTAGTCCATTCCAGCATGCTGTTCCATGGTGTCCATTCACTAGCCATATCAGAAATGCTTTTTTTTACACCATGTTAGATAATTTTTAATTTTAATGTACATTTGTACATAGAACTCTCCAAGCTAAGTGATGAATTGTCATAAGTATCGTTGCTGGGGGGCTCCAACTGGTTAACGTCTAATCATCAGAAGAAAATAAATTTTAAGAATTTATTCAAACAAGTTCAAATTTGTGTGTAGTGCCACTGGCTATCATAGCAATGCCACTCTAAATGTTGAAAATGCCTACTAAAGGCATAGATATCTGTACATTTTTAAAATTTTTTTCTTCTGTATTTTTTAAATCAATTTTTTTTATTTCTATGACATGTATATATGTTAGGGTCTGTTATTTTCTTGAGGTTCTTTATGTATTGTAATATTGAATTTCTATGATCATGAAATCTCAGAAGGGGGAAATAAAGATTGAAAAGAGAACCCTAGTGACGGAGTTAGCGTACTTTGGGGGAAATGGCACTGGCGTGATACACGTTCTGTTAAGTGGTATTATATAAGCCAAGTCACAGTATCTTTTTGTTAATATCACTAAAAACAATGTTCAAGTTTGTGTACCAAACAAAAAAGAAATCAAAATATAATTTGAAGAGAAACGCGGGGCGTTTTCCGCGTTTGGGTACTCCTGGATAATGTGAACTGTACTGAGATGTCGTACCTTTTTTTTTATTCTGCACAGAGTCAAGGTAAACACATCGAAAAAACGTAAATAATCAGCAACATATGAGCAAAATACCCTTCCGAAGCTTTGGTTTTCTTTGTAAAACCATAATTCTAATTACTATGATGAATATGAGCATTATGTTTTTAATAATTTACGTGTAAGATGCCTTATGGGAGATATGCGTCAGTGCTATGAAGGCATTGAAACATAATGAGTTTTCTCTACTACTTTTAATAGTATTGAATTAAAGTTATTGAATTAAGATAGAATATTTTTATTTACATAATATTAGCAGATAATCTTCCGTCGTTATGTTGGTTGTTATCATGACGTCATATTTCGTATTGCATATGGAAAGCACATTACGCTATAATGAATTTTGTTTAACAAAAATTTAGATAATTCGCAGAAAATTATTATACAGTAACTAATCAATGGCGAATTTTTAGAGATTAATAACAGTACATAAATGAAACTTTCTATGCATTTATTTCTTCTTTTGCAATTTGTTTCTGGTCCTGTCGTTCATTGACTTGACTATCAAACTTCGGTTGATGTACTTTGGGGTCTTGGAGTGTCTATTCCAAAACGTACGTCATGTGACCTACTTTTGAAATTTCAAGTATCTACCTGACTATTTAAGGACAGATGATACAAACATTTGTCAAAAAGAAATTGAACAAAGCAACTTGGGTAATGTTTTAATGAATAAAATGAATAAGTTTCACATCGTAGTTTTTAATTGTTTACTCAAAGTTTCACAAAAACGGAATTTGAAGTGAAAAACATTTGTATAGATAAAGGATAGTTTCAGAAAGCTTACAATTTCCTAATATTCTAGAAATTTATTATTTGCATCATTTTCAATGAGATAAGGTCAAAAGATATATACCAATCCAGGCATCCATTTTTTGATAGTATCCTGTCCTTAAGACAGTAAAGGGCTTTTAATCATCAAACTTTGTTAGTTGATGCATCTTTGGTTTTAGAGTGTTTTACACAAACTGTAGCTCATTATGACCTGTTTACTGAATTTTAAGGTGTTATCTTAATATACAGGATACTTAGAGCCTTTGAATAGAAGTGATAAGTTGAACAATTTATCAGAAGAACAATTTAAGGCCCTTGGGCCTCTTGTAGATTTTTATCTTGGTTATCTTGAATCATTGGATATCTTGAAGGTTTTTAAATCCCATCATGTTTGAAATGACAAAGTTTGACTGTATTCTGATTTTAGTGAGATTTTAAGAATTTTTATAGACATAAACAATATGAAACTGCAAATCATGACAAAATGGCATATTAAAGAATAATACTGTAAGTCGTTTTAATTCCACGTAGTTAAAATTTCACGATATCTCAAAAAGTACCAATTGCGATGGTTTTAATTTCGCGCTGCAAGAAATTAATTCAAATTTTGTATAAACATTTAAACGTTTCTAAGAACTAGTAATAGAATTCACGATGGGTTTAATTTCGCGGAAAACTGATAAATCGCGAACATAGCGAAATTAAAACCTTCGTGATTATTTGCCAATCTACAGTAGTTGTACTTCATTTAATAAATGAAAAAAATATTTATTCTTCTTTTCTCATTCTAACTTGTTATGTCTTTTGCTTTTTCTTTTGCATAATATTCCAGTCACTAAGAAAAGAACTGTTACACAATGACCAATGAAGTAAATAGACTTCCAGTAAGTCAAAGTATAATCCAGTCTAAGGAGTAAAAATCCCATACACATGTAATCAAATCCACGCATTTTGAAAAACCAGCAAGCCCAGTCAAAGCACTTGATCCATGTTTGAGATCCATGTCTGAAGGCTGCTCTCATCTTGTCTTCTGCCAGTAGTATGACTGGTACCAGCAGAAAGCTGAGGTAATACCCAGGGTGAATCCCGTGCCAAAAAGCACTCACTGTCATTGTTATCGCAACTCTGAAACATAAATAAAGCTACATATCATTAAGGTTGCATATCAAAGGGTCGTGTTTTTAGTTTGTTTGTTAAATGTCCCTTTAAGAATTTTTCACTTAAATTAAGAGCTATCAAGTAGAAACTTGCAACCTTTGAGCAGTGAGGGACCTTTTTCATGCCAGCACCTGCTGAAGGACCAGCCTCTGTGTCTCAAAGTGGATTCCCAACCCTATCATAACAATCAACTCTTTATTCATTGACTGCAGAGCAAAGAAGAATCACTGCCCCACATGCCTGACCTTTTAGTAAAGAACACCATGATGAGGGAATTCATTGTGAAGGACCAATTTGTAATAAGAAAATTGTTTGCCTATTTTATATAGAGTTCTGCTTTAACCTTCACCATAAAAAGAATTTATTTGTTTTAATATTTGAGTGCTGTTCAAAAAATAATGTCCTCAGTACTCAGAAAGAAACAAAAATGCTTTTCAATGATTTAGTCTTAATGATTTCATTTAAATATTCTACCATGGCCAAATCCTTTTTATACAATTTCTGATTGTTTTTAAAATTCATTTTTGAGTATGGCCCTTCATGTACTGGAATATGGCAGATCCCATTATTTCCTGAACTTGTTTCTTCTCTCTGAATGTTTTTTTCAAGTTTGGAAAATAAAACAAGTCAAAGAGTGAAAGATCTGGCCAATAAATTGGTCTAACAAAACTTTAACATTCTGTTTATCACCCAAACTCCTATACTTTTCAGGGCATGTGGATTTGGACACTGTCATGAAGAAATTTAATTTCATGGATTCCTAATTCTGGGTCTTTCCTCTCGTAAACCTTTCGATTTTTTGGCAAAAAATTTTGCTTTCAAGATTCCTCCAGAAATTTCACTGCCTCACCAAATAAGAATTTGAACAAGACCACTAACATTTAAGGAAATGGCATATAAAACTTTCTTTGTGCTCTTGCAATTCTATGCACTTCTCAGACCTTTGCTGTTTTTGTCAAGTGCATCTTATTGTAAATTTATTTTGAGGGTTTAAAGCAATGGATTCAAGTTTCAGTAGCTGTTTGAATATCAGACAAATGTGGCAAATTACAATGTCTGGTTTAAAAAAAAAAAAAAAAAAAATTGTTTAGATATATTACAGTTTTTTGCACTTATTTTTCAAAACATAGCATGATCGTTGAGTACCAAGCTTTTTAACTGTCAAACGTTTCTTTAAACAATGAGAACTATCCCCAAACTGATGCCTATCAAATTTGCTAGTGTTAAAACGTCAATCTATCATCATCAGTAATAATCTGTTGAGTTTTGGCAAACATTACATTGTTTGTTGTAAGTCCTTGTCACCAAGTAGGGTACTCATTTTTGTTGCACATTATATCATTTTTGTTCATTAAAATCCACTTGCTCATATGTCTATAAAACAGGCAAGGATTGCTGTAATTTTCACAAATTTCAGTGAATATTTCTTTTGGATTCTTAACAAATTTTACAGCAGCTTTAATGAAGTGATAACATATAAATGGTGCCTGTTATGAAGCGTAACAGTTGAAACTGACACCCCAAGAAAAACGTTTGTCAACTGACTAATCATGAAACATTGAAAATGGTTTTCCGAAACAGGCACCATTTATTTTATTATACTAAATGTCATTAATTTAGGATTTCAGCAAAAAATTTGTTGATTGTCTTTACGTTTACATTTAGAAAGCTTTTAAACTTCAAGATTCTATTTTTCTCATTATTAAAGAAAACTTTGAAAAAGATTGACTAACCTCTTTCATGTTTGTTTGATAATCAAAGAGTTTTTTATCATCTTATTATTACAGAAACCTTTGAAAAAGATTGCTGATAATCAAAGAGTTCTTTATCATCTTTTGTTTTATTATTTCTGCAATTGCAAGCATGTTTCATCTGTCTTAAGTGTCTTTTGTTGTTTGCAAGTAAGCGGAATCGAAGGTAGATTGTAATTGATGACAATTATATCTGACTTCTTTCAAAGGCACAACTGATTTTTTTTAGAAATCTATGATGAACTGTGCATGCTTTTGCACTAATGTGACATTTTCATTGTTACCTGTTGTCAAGCCTATTGCTAACACGGAGGGTAACATTACAGATTGTTAATGCCTCTAAACCACACATAGTACTGGCATTTAACATTAGAGTAATTATGTCATTTATTGTATTACCGATAAGCTTTGAGTGAGTTTGGGATTCTGCGGTGACAATAAGCAGCTAACCAGTACTGTACTGTCATATTCCAACTTCGGAGGCCCACTTTTGTTGTTCGTCCTAATTCACATCCATATACAGACAAGTTGTGTATTGTTTCATAGTCATATTTTATGGGATCCTTTGATAGGGTACTGGAAGAGAAGAAATAAGACTGGTGAACTGGTTTAACTTTTTCAAGAATCTAGAGTTTTCCAAAGATACCTGTGTCACCTGCTTCTCAGCATCATTAAACATGCAAATGAATCTTTGAGTGGTCAGCTATCTATTTGTTGCTAGCATTATACTTGTAGTTCATGCATTTGCAGTCAATTTTTTTTCATCTAAATTTCAACCCTTACCATCAACATTTTTTTCAGGCAAATATTCATTGAATTATTTGCATTTAAATTTTGGTTTCCAGTGAACATTGATCACTATTTTTGAACTACAGTGCTGTGAAAACTGAGCTAGCAGTAGTTATTTATGAGTGAGGGTTTACTATCAAAATTCAAAAAGTATGAAATACATTTTTAAAGGATCCTCAACACAATGTGACTTTTGATGTATATAGAGAAAAAAAATACTTTTACTTCCTGTTTTATCTAGTTTGTGCACTGATGATTTGCCTGGCACCAATTGTAAGAGAGTCTTACAAATGCTTTAGAAATAAAGGTTTTACTACAGGAAAAGTATGCAGTATACTGAGAGCGACATCCTAATCATAAACAATGAACACATGGCATGATCACGGAGTGATCAATAAAATTATTAAAATTTTTTTAATCTATATAAATGACCTGCCATGTGGACTCTTAGGTCTCTCTAGACTATTTGCAGATGATACATCTGTTTCCAATACTTCCCAAAACTTGCAGGACTTGGAAAGACTTACTAATTATGATCTAGAACAGATTAATGAATGGTCAAAAAATTGGGTTGTAAAATTTAATCCCGATAAAACCAAAATATTAATATTTGGTTGTAAAGAAGATGAATTATCCAATCTAAGATTTAAGTTTGACAATAAAGAAATAATCCCATCCTCTACTCACTGTCATCTTGGACTTATCTTTTCAAATTCTGGGAAGTGGACAAACCATATTGACAACATTATTAAAAAGACCTCAAAAGAAATTGCTGTTCTTCGGAAACTGAAATTAACGTTAAACCGTGACTTTTTAAATAAGATGTATATTACTTTTATTAGACCCCTATTTGAATATGCATCAGAAGTATGGGATAATATTACCACAGCTGACTGTGATAGGCTGGAGAAATTACAATTAGAAGCTGCGCGTATTGTCACAGGCCTTCCTATTTATGCTTCTCGAAAATCTCTATATTTCGAAACGGGATGGGAAACTCTTGCTTGTAGACGGGAAAGGAGAAAATTATGTTTAATGTATAAAATAAAACATGGCCTCGCACCAGAATATTTACTAAATCTATTACCCCCTGAAGTCTCTCAAACTACCCATTATGATCTACGAAATAGTAATAATATTGTTATTCCCCAATGTAGAACAAATTTATTAAAAAACTCATTTTTTCCATCTACAATATCAGCATGGAATGCATTGCCTACTGAGACTAGAAACCTTGACTCTATAAATGCTTTTAAAAAGAGACTCTCTAAAGGTGATCCTCCCCCAAAATATCTTTCTTATGGCGACAAAAAACTGAATTCAATTTTAACCAGAATGAGGCACAATGTAAGCCTCCTTAAGGCAGATCTTTTTAAGTTTAGACTTTCAGACAATACCAAGTGTTCTTGTGGATATATCAATGAAAACACTGAGCATTTCATCCTCTATTGTAAAAATTATACTGAAATAAGAAAAGAATTATTCCATACTATAAAAAATAACAAAGGAGAAATAGACCTTGATAAAATTCTTTTTGGGGACCCAAACTTGGGTCAACAAAATAATTTCAATATTGTTAAAGCCGTACATAAATATATTAAAAATTCGAAAAGATTTTTTGAACAGTAAGCGTAACTACATGTATTCTGCATCCTTTAAATCCCCTTCCTTCTTTCATCTTTCTTTGCACTCCTATTCCCTACCTTTCTCATCTCTCTGCACCCTTTTCTTCCCCCTTTTTTTTTTTTTATTTTTATTTGCATTGTAGATTTATTTGTTGTTCATCACGTGTAAATAAATTTGTTTTTCTTTGTTGACATTTGGCCTTGCAAGGTGTACTAAATTAAACTATATTTCAGTTAATTTGTATGTTTCTGTACATTTTCTTTTTTGATTGGGTCAACAAAATAATATCAATATTGTTAAAGCTGTGCATTAATATATTAAAAAATCAAAAAGATTTTATGAATAACCAGTGTAACCATTTTGTATTCTTAGTTTATAATACTCCCTTTATTTCTTCTCTCCATGCACTCCCATCCCCTTCTTTTCTTATCTCTCCGCACCACTTTTCTTCTTCTTCCTCTTTTTTTTTTTTTTTTTAATATTATTGTATTTCTTGCTTGTACATCACGTGTATATATTCTTGTTATTTTTGTTTGTGTTGGAGAGGACAATCTAAGTTGGTATAACTTGTGTCCAATCCCATTGATTGTGTTCAATAAAATATGTTTAAATCAAAATCACGGAGTGATCAATAAAATTAAGTTTTTATGTTATTATGTGAGCTTAAAAATATACGAAAGGGTAAGACAAAATTTGCTTTGCTAGGCATGAAAACGCCTTGGGAAAAATATCTTGGAACGTGTGAAAGTATTATTTTAAAAAATCAGTTTAAATTGTTTTAATTCCTGGCCAGTTTTTAAAGGTTGATATGCTTGTTAAAAGTAATGCTCAATAATATGAGAACATATGCTGGGTATGTGTGGAAGACCTTTAATTGATTAATACATGTACATGTATAAGCACACTTTAAATTGACCACAACTTTCTTACGACTTTGAACCACATCAACTTTACAAATAATGATTTCACAGAGTACAGACCTTTTGTGGTACTCCTTCAAATCTGTTGGTCCCTCCCCACATTTTGGTTTACTTGCTTTTGGATACGCTCCTAGTCCAATGGCCATGCACATGCACTCTGACAGAATCCATGCCATGTATAAACGAGTGCGGAAAATAATAAACATTGGCATCATAAACAACAAACGATACCAAAAGGGATTGTCATAGAATTCATTTGATGTTGCATACTGAAATAAAAAAGTAAGTGCCCACTGACATTATCTTTATCAAAGGGCATAAACCAAATATTTAACTTACTAATTACAAGCTGTGAAACATTTTTTTTTTGTTTATCCAATCATTTTAAGATAGACGCTTAATTTGACTTGTAAAGTATAATATACATGTAAAGTATAAAATGTATACAAAATAAAATAAAATGATACAATGTATCAGAGTGGTGAATAACTTCCACATGCTGATCAGGATACCCTGGACCTGTGTAACATAATGATGCTATATATGACACCCTGGATCTATGTTACGTAATGATGCTATATATGATACCCTGGATCTGTGTTATGTAATGATGCTTTATATGATACCCTGGATCTATGTTATGTAATGATGCTATATATGACACCCTGGATCTGTGTTATGTAATGATGCTATATATATGACACCCTGGATCTGTGTTTTGTAATGATGCTATAAATATATGATACACTGGATCTGTGTTATGTAATGATGCTATATATATGATACACTGGATCTGTGTTATGTAATGATGCTATATATATGACACCCTGGATCTGTGTTATGTAATGATGCTATATATATGATACCCTGGATCTGTGTTACGTAACCTGTGTTATGTAATGATGCTATAAATATATGATACCCTGGATCTGTGTTATGTAATGCTGCTATATATATGATACCCTGGATCTGTGTTACGTAAAGATGCTATATATGATACCCTGGATCTGTGTTACGTAAAGATGCTATATATGATACCCTGGATCTGTGTTATGTAATGATGCTTTATATGATACCCCGGATCTGTGTTATGAAATGATGCTATATATCTTACCCTGGATCTCTGTTACATAATGCTGCTATATATGATACCCTGGATCTGTGTTATGTAATGATGCTTTATATGATACCCTGGATCTGTGTTATGTAATGATGCTATATATATGATACCCTGGATCTGTGTTATGTAATGATGCTATATATTATGATACCTTGGATCTGTGTTATGTAATGATGCTATATATGATACCCTGGATCTGTGTTATGTAATGATGCTATAAATGATACCCTGGATCTGTGTTATGCAATGATGCTATATATTATGATACCCTGGATCTGTGTTATGTAATGATGCTATATATGATACCCTGGATCTGTGTTATTTAATGATGCTATATATATTACCCCGGATATGTGTTATGTAATGATGCTATATATGATACCCTGGATCTGTGTTATGTAATGATGCTATATATTACACCCTCGATCTGTGTTATGTAATGATGCTATAAATATATGATACACTGGATCTGTGTTATGTAATGATGCTATATATATGATACCCTGGATCTGTGTTATGTAAAGATGCTATATATGATACCCTGGATCTGTGTTATGTAATGATGCTAAATATATATGATACACTGGATCTGTGTTATGTAATGATGCTTTATATGATACCCTTGACCTGTGTTATGTAATGATGCTATATATGATACCCTGGATATGATGCTTTATATGATACCCTGGTTCTGTGTTATGTAATGATGTTATAAATACATGATACCCTGGATCTGTGTTATGTAATGATGCTATATAACTTATCCTGGATCTGTGTTATGTAATGATGTTATATATTATGATACCCTGGATCTGTGTTATGTAATGATGCTATAAATGATACCCTGGATCTGTGTTATGTATGATACTTTATATGATACCCCTGATCTGTGTTATGTAATGATGCTATATATAATACCCTGGATCTGCGTTATATATGATGCTATATATGATACCCCGGATTTGTGTTATGTAATGATGCTATTTATTATATGATACCCTGGATCTGTGTTATATAATGATGCTATATATATGATGCCCTCAGTGTATCTGTTTAATGATGATGGACACCACACTACATGTGAAGTGTGTCAAAAAAAATCAACTTGTGTCTGTTTTCAAATCAAAAAGTGCTGTATGAAAAAAAAAATTATGACAAAATTGATTTTAAAATCTATATTATTGTAGTTCTATATACACCCATACCTGACAATAAATTAGTGATAACTAAAAGCTTTAGCATGAATGGAAACTGATATTTTTCACCACATCTTCATAAATAGGTCAAAACATTTCTACTCCATAGATCCAACAAATTAGGAAGGAAGGACAGACAGATTATTTATAACTACAGTAAAATTAGCGAAATCCTGAGGACCTTTGAATTTCATTCACTACATTCGTAATTCATTATATCAGTATATTAATGAATTTGTTTAACTATAAATATAACCAATTTGCAATAAGCATATTTCCCTTTAAGTATTATTGCCAAATATTGTTACAAAACATATCTTGGATAACTATAAGGTTTTATTACGATTTGAGTTTTACCGTATAACAGGTTATTTTTACTGCTGTAAATTTTTACGAATTTTGGCTGAAATATGGTGATTTAAATTTTTACGCGTTAATTTTTTACGAATTGAGCATGTCCATAAAAACTAAAATCATCGAACGTAAAATTCCAGATCAATGTTTTAGTATTTTGAATGCATTTAGTACATACAAAAAGGCTAAATGCGTCTGGAAAACCCGATGTTAAAATCAAAATTGAATTTATTCCCGTCGAATGTCGATTCATTAAATTTATATGATAATGTTTGTTTGTTGAATTACCTTTATATATCATGTTCCCTTCTTAGATACCTGTTTTTTAAAGTTAATTAAACACAGTTGGCTAAATATCTTTATTGATAAGCACCACATGCCCGTCTTCATTTTACCGGAAATATAAAGAGAGACAACTAAAACCATCATGATTCACTTGACACCATTACAGTGTGTTAAAAAGTCACGTTTTTATTGAATGCAAACAAAACAGAAGAAAGGGTAAACAAATTTGAAAAACGGATATAATTTGAAGATCTGTAATAATAAAATCATTTTCAGAAACTATGCGTCTTGTAAAATTAACGAGGTAAATGACGATGTTTGTATACCTTATGCGTTAATTAAGATTAACTTGTTTGGTCCTAATTGTTGATCAATTTAAAAGTGCTAAAAAAAAAAATTTAAAAATACCAACAGTACTAATTCTAGCCTAAATGTCCTCAGTTAAATGGCAATTATAGCCGACATCTTAGACATATGTTGAAAATTTAGTCCAGGCGTTTTTGTTTTTTTACTTCTGTGAAATTTTACACGTTTAAATTTTATGGATTTATATAACTTGTAAAAATTAGTAAAAATTAGCTGCACATAAACAATACCCGTTATACGGTATATTAATACAAATATTTGATGAAAATATAAAGTCAGTTCAATTAATCAAATTTTGAAATTTCATAGGTGTTGGAATGGGGGGGGGGAGGGGGCTTAGCCCCGCTCCCCACTATTTTTGCAAATATATACAAAATATAGGCATTGAAAATTGGGTTTTTTCCTTTTTTGTTGGTTTAGCCCCCCCCCCCCCCCCCCCACCTTTCAATTTGCTTCCGATCCCCATGAATTTTAAATATTTGTTACATCTGATGATGTAAAGTTCATTATATTAAACCTCTATGGGACTCAAAATCAGTTAGCTATATCTGTAAATTAAATCTGCATGAGTTCATTATAATGATAAAATTTTACAAAGAATTGTAGAGAATTTGGCCAGGGACTCTGAAAAACTTTGCTATATCTGTGAATTCGTTATATCTTACTGTGTTCATACACGGTAATACATCATGTACTGTAACTGATATTATCTTTAACTTACCTTTATATTAAAAAAGTTTGAAAAGACAAGGTAGGTGATTGCTATAAGAGGTAGATCCTTTATTCTGTGTAACACAGGTTGTATAGATGGAATGCTGGCTACATTGGAAGTGTTCACCATATCAGCATAGGTTCTGTACTTATAGTAGGGACCTGAAATTAAGTATGTCCTAGAATACTCTGCATACTATTTTTTTAACTTTTATATAATCCCTAGGCCTATTTTTCTAATTTAAGCTGGGATTCTAATTTTCTCCAGATGAGATTTGGAGTTTGTTTAAGATATCAATTGACCAATCAATGAGTGTATTGCAAAAGCTATAGAAATGACAATATATCCATTTGTGATTTTTATTGACTTCTTTTTTGGGCATAAAAAACAGGTAGAGTCACAAAAACATTTTTACATGCAATTCCTTAAATAGCTATGGCCTCATCCAATCTCAGGTTAATGTTTTCAAAAATATACTCCCTGTGAATATGGGGGAAAGTTTAGACTTTGTGAAAATTATTAAAGTTCTATATCTATGTCTTTATCAATAATAGAATTTCAAACTTCTTTCCTTCAAAAGTTATATGGAATGTTAAGTTTAAGGCAGATATACAGAGCAAAGAACAGCAGATGGTCGGCCAGGACAAACAAATATCCCCCTCCCCAATCCTTAAACACATGAAGCAGTCAACTGTCATAATAATACATATATATTATTATAACAGTAACTTGATCCGAAGAGCCATATCACGTCTCGTTGACAGGCGCGGATCATCAGATCAAACTCAAGTCGACGCTTTGCATCTCGTTAGATCTGATGATCCGCGCCTGTCAACGAGACGTGATACGGCTCTTCGGATCAAGTTACTGTTATAATGATAAATTTATTATATACCCCCTCAAAACTAGCAAAATTTAGCAAGAGAAAACGTTAGAGATCAATTGTATAACATTTATCCATAAAACAAAGCATAATAACAAGGGACTTTTTAACGCGCAAGAAAAATAACGTCATGTTTCTGCATACTACGTCATCAGTTTCAGAGAGTGGTGATATGGATTCAGAAAACCACAGTGTGGTGATCCGGAAAGGCGGATCACGACGTCACGTGATAGCGTAAAATCAACAGTAAAATTGAGTGATACACATTATGTATAATAAAATAACTTATCAGTAAACTTTCCAATAGGAGGGAAAGTTGTAAATACTAATGACTCATCAATAAACTGTTCAATATAAATAAATGTAAAATCACATATTTTTGTGGGGTTAAATTTTCGAGGTTTGAGAAAATATTGGTTTGTTAGGACTTGATTTCATGGTTGGGGAATGCTTACTATTATTGCATATGAAATTTTATATTTCGTGGTGGTCATAAAAGTGGGTCTCTCCATGCCTCGAAAACAACGAAAATTAAACCTCAACAAAAATTAATGAATTCACAGCAACAGGATTGATTGATTGTATATTGTTTAACAATTTTTCACTCATATGGAGTCTTGCCAGAGGAGAGATGCAAATTTTGTCCTATACTCGGCACTCAGGGCCAATGAGCAAGGAGGGATCTTTTTCTTGCCAGCACCCACTGCTACAAGGGACCTCAGTTTATATGATCTCATCTGAAGGACACCGCCCCCTAGTGGGATTCTTACCCATGATGTAAGAATTGACTCCTTATTTTGCGACTCTAGAGCAGACGCTCTGACCACTGCGCCATGCGGGCAACCAATATAACAGGAAGCATGCTGTCAACAATTTAAAAATTAAATATCACATAAAGCACTAAGAAGCATGCTGTAATTTGTCAACAGCTTAGAAATTAGAAGTTGGGGAATGCTTACTATTATTGCATATGAAATTTTATATTTCGTAAATATCACATAAAGCATTAGGAAGCATGCTGTAAGTAACTAGTGCTAATTGTAACGGGGACCGTTACAGATGTTCCCCAAACGCTCCCCAACACCCTTTTGGTGCCATATTCCCTGCAACAGCTTCATTAAATAGGACAAAATCTATGCATTTGAGACTTAAACAACGCCAATTCATTCAAATTTTAGCATTGCAAGCGTGCGCATGTGAATGCATGTGCGTAATGCCCATATCATCTTGTCTACACAATCTATATATTTTTTATATACTAAATATTAAAGTATTTAATCCAAAAGTATTAAAAAATACGCTCATTCAAGTGTATTTTTGATTTATCTCATTTTATGTGCACGCACGTGCATACATGAGCATGGTGACCATATCTTCTTGTAGAAGTCCTTTACATCTATCTATGTTCTCAATCCCACCCCGTTTGGTTGAAAACAAAGGGAAATATAGCTGTTTAAAGTTTCAGCCAATCAGATTACAGCGAACGTACACGCACGTGTATGCATGTGCATTATACTTGTAGAAGTTCATTATATCTATCTATGTTCCAAAGTCCATCCTGTTTGCTTGAAAACCAAAGGAGTTATAGCTATATAAAATTTAAGCCAATCAGATTGCAGCACACGTGCATGCACGTGTTTTCATGATAATTGCTATAAATCATATTGTAGGATATCTTAATGCATGGCTATGTTCAAAATTTCATAGGATTTCGTCGAAAAACAAGAAAGATATAGAGACTTTAGTTTCAGCCAATCAGAGCGTAGCGCACGTGCATGCGCGTGAGATCTTGCTTTTTTGATCATGTTGTCTTATTAATGCTACTAATATATCCTTACATTATAAATTTCAAAAGATTTCATCAAAAAATAGAAAAGTTACGGCTATATCCATTATATTGGTCATTTCACGTGTTGCACGTGCGCGCTCTTGCAAGCACGTGCGTGCAAAATGGCATGTTGACAATGTCATCTTATCTACATTTAAATTATGTCTATATATTCTAAATATCAAAGCATTACATCAAAAAATGTAAAAGTTACGGCAATTTCAAGTATATTGGTCATTTCACGTGTTGCACGTGCGCGCTCTTGCAAGCACGTGCGCGCAAAATGACCCTCGTTCCGCAAATCTACATAACATGCCTAATTATCCTAAAAAGGTTTCCCCTTAATCGGATGTGTACTTTACAAGATCATTCGCGGACAAAATTTTCCCAAGAAGAAAAATAATAATAAGAAGAAACAGAGTAAAAACAATATGTTCCCCAACTTCGTTTGGGGAACATAATAAATAGAGTACCTTTTAACTAAAGTATCTTGACATATCAGATATTTGTCCTGAAAATGCATGAGTTAAATGGTTGTCTATATTTTTGTATCATTGTTTTCAGGTACAGAGTTACCCATGATCTATCACTGTCATGTTTATAGCACATAATTTAACTGATTCTCACGCACGAGTTAGCCATGATCTATAAAAATTTCATCATACAATTTTATATGAGCAATGAAAAAAGAGCCTGGATTCAAAAAGTATAGTGCGATGTATTTCTTGAACCTTAGAACTACCCTTTCAAGTCTGAATGCCATGGGTGATGGTTGTGATTTTATGCTATGGCAATTCTTGTAAAATGTTTACTTTTGAGGGAGTTGTACAGCGATTCTCTAAATTACTGGATGCAGCGAATTGTGTTGGAATTCATAAACCAAGATGGCTCGGAATATCCACCTCATTTTCTGTACTACATTGTGTGTGCTTTGTTATGCTTCAGATTTAATATGAGAGTCAAAAAGATTCATTTAAGAGGGCGCTCTACAACGTCACAACATGGCGTACTACCATTGAAACACCATTTTGGTCCCAAATGATCTGATTCAAATTCACTTAATACCGATAAATCACTGAGTATAACACAACATGCAATATTGTGGATGGAATGTACATTGTATCACCTTAATTAATACAGCGTATTGCCCAATACCTATCCTTTCTTTAACCAGAAGTCTCTGTCGAGACTGAAGCTCTACTGGTTTGTACTTATAACAAAGGAAGAGAAAAGTAGCATTTGGGACTTAAAACTTTACAACAGCAATAAATAGAATAATGATGCTTGATTGAGCTCTTTTTGTGGCAAGATACTGCAATAAGACAACAGCAGTAGGAGTAGCTATTAATAAACTTTTAGAGTATTTTCAATTTTAGTAACCATAGCAACATCATTCCTCGATATTAAAAATCAATACACAGAATTGTGTATCTTAGTGTAGTCTACTCGTGTGCCATGTTGTATTGAAATCAGACCAAAACTGTAGGAGGTGTAGCATTTTGAATGCATTTCAGAGAAATTTCTATTTTTGGTAACCACCGCAACACCCTTCATTGAAATCAAAAATCGATACACAGAATTATGTATCTTTGTAAGTCTACTTGTGTGCTAAGTTATATTAAAGTCAGACCAAAACTGTAGGAGTAGCATTTTGAAAGTATTTCACAGAAATTTCTATTTTTAGTAACCACGGCAACACCGTTCATCAAAATCAAAAATCGATAAAAAGAATTATGTATCTTAGTGTAGTCTACTTGTGTGCTAAGTTATATTAAAATCAGACCAAATCTGTAGGAGGAGTAGCATTTTGAAAGTATTTCACAGAAATTTCTATTTTTAGTAACCATGGCAACACCGTTCATCGAAATCAAAAATCGATAAATAGAATTATGTATCCTAGTGTAGTCTACTTGTGTGCTAAGTTATATTAAAATCGGACCAAAACTGTAGGAGGAGTAGCATTTTGAAAGTATTTCACAGAAATTTCTATTTTTAGTAACCACGGCAACACCGTTCATCAAAATCAAAAATCGATACACAGAATTATGTATCTTAGTGTAGTCTACTTGTGTGCTAAGTTATATTAAAATCAGACCAAAACTGTAGGAGGAGTAGCATTTTGAAAGTATTTCAGAGAAATTTCTATTTTTAGTAACCACGGCAACACCGTTCATCGAAATCAAAAATCGATATACAGAATTATGTATCTTAGTGTAGTCTACTTGTGTGCCAAGTTATATTGAAATCAGACCAAAACTGTAGGAGGAGTAGCATCTTGAAAAATTGTTTACAGACAGACGGACGGACGTCGGATGCATTACTATCGCATAAGCTCTTCTGGTCTCCGACCAGTAGAGCTAAAAATGAATTGTTTGTCAATTTATTCAATTTCTACTTATTTTATTATTAAATAATATATTTACCAACTTATTAGAATAAAATTTTTAGGTGATGTAAAATGATATAAAAACATATGGCTTGTCCATATGCCAATTCATCAATAAGTGTCAAAACGCCATACACTTTGAAATTTCTTTTTTCTTCAATAAACATATATGCTTTCCAGCAAAATATATCCCCCAAAATGCAAATTTGATAAGATAATTGTCTTCCCATCCACTAGAGGATACTCTGTTCACGATTTTGTATACACACGAATGAATGGTTATACCCGGTGAAATTTAAACTCTTAATGAAATCACCAAAACGTTTCGACAGTAAATGGAATTTTGCATGACCCAAACATTTGATCAACATTGATTATCAGCTGTTTATATGGGAAACGTGCAGGTTTTAGACGAAGTGTGATTTTGGTTTTAGGAATTTCTTTCACCCGCTTTTGGCCATTTACTATGTTTTACATGTTTTGTTACATCTAGCACTGGATAAAACATGCAAATTGGATAAAAACGGTAAGTAAATCTACCTTTCTCAATACCATGATTTCACAAATACACAAATACATGTCTTTGTCATTGACATTTTTTTTTTCAATACTGGTGCAAGTTATAGTAGAGTTTATTTGAAGTTTATAACAAAACAGTACCAAGATATTTGAGCCCACTCTTGAAGCGGATCACTCACACCTGAATTTTTGTGATGTTTGAAATTTTTGACAGTTTTTCAATTTTGTTCAATTTCTTTTTTTTTTCATTGTTTTTACCCTTTGATATTGTATAATCTTTTCAGATATTGGAGAAGATCCAACCAGATATTCTCAAGAAAATGCTGTTTTAGTTTTTCTTTTGTCTATTCTTGTAAATTTAAATAAAAATTATGTTGATTCTATTTTTAACTTTGTTGGTTATTATTTCAATATTTTATAACATTAAACTTTGAAGAGAAATTTAAAGCACTAGGCTTTTAAAAATATAGAAAGGAGGGGTTTTAACAAAATAAATGAAATATTTTAAATATTTCTAAAAAATAGAAATACTTTGGACCCTCATTTTATCGGATATTGAGCCTATTATTAGAAACAAATGCATGCAACAAAAATCAGTTATGCTTTATAGGTGTAGAGATCCTCCTTAAAAATGTGCCCATGGGCCTTATAGGTCACCTGAGAATCATGCAACAACTTTCAAATGATTGAATTTGGTTCATGTTTTAAGCTAGATGCTATGGCATTCAAAATTTTGAAAGAGGCTGGCACCATTGCTAATCATAAATATAAACTTAGCAATTGCTTAGTTTGGTCACTTAGAGGGGCTAGGAGGTCATGGCCATTTTTAGACTATTTCAATCTCCTTTAGAAGAAGAGCTCCATATAAAGATATACAAAAATAATCAAATTTTAAAACTAATATGTATGAAATTTTTCTTTGTCAAATGATAGTTGACAGCTAAAGATATCTTATCTAAAAATTTAAGTTATATCTGGTGGTTAATTTGTTTTTAATTTGTTAACCCCCAAGCCTCCTTAATACCCATAGCCACTTATAGCCAGGGTAGGGAATCAAAAAATGCATATCAACTAGTCTGTAATATTCAATAATAATCAGAAGTGCCCCACATGAACCCCTGACCCTAGGTCCACACATTGCACAATTTTTGAAAAGGCACACTTGCTTATCAAAAACGTTTGATTAATACCAAGGAGCAGATTTCAAACAGTTCATATTCAATATATAAGTAACCCCCCCCCCCCCTTTCTGTGGTATCCCTGACCCAGGGGCCTGGAAATTCACAATTCTTGAAGAAGAGCCCTTGCACATCATAACTATATAGGCAGTTCATCTGCTTATTACCAAGGAGCATAGAAGGTTTTCAAAGAATTAATGTATTTTCACTATATATTCAATAGAGCCCCACTCTAACACCAGAACCCCTGACCCTGGGGCCATAAAATTCAAAATTTTGGTAGAGGCACTCTTGTTCATCATAATTATGTACTAAGTTAGTTTATTTGATACCCAGGAGCAGTGAAGAAGATTTTCAAAGAAATAATGAATTTTCACTATATAATCAATAGAGCCCCACCCTAGCACTAGAACCCCTGACCCTGGGGCAATGAATTTTACAATTTTGGTAGAGGACTTAATGCTGATACAATCATGCCAACAGTTTGACTGCTCGATGTTCAGGAGTAAAGAAGAAGATTTTTAAAGATTGCAATAATTCTAGTGGTTTTGGCCCCACCCCCTAGGCCCCAGGGGGGAAGGGACCATGAAATTCATAATTTTTGTTCCCCTTCACCCATAGATGCTATGTGCCAAAATTGGTTGAAATTGATTCAGTGGTTTCAGAGAAGAAGCTGAAAATGTTCAAATGTTAATGCACGACGCATGACTAAAGACGACGGATGAAAACGGATAGCAATAGTGACCTAAAAATTAATTTGTTTACGTTAGGAAAAGTATACCTTCACTATCTTTACATGACTTTGTATTTTGCTTATAAAGTTGGCTACTCTATATTTTTTCGTAACTTCATGGTTCATTAAAATTATTGCAGCATGCAACCCTGGCATGCTCTATCTAGATCGAGAATGGCTGTTAGATCACAATTAGTTATGATGTATCAGATACCTGGTATATATAAACAGTGGTCTTCAAAGGAAAACACTGCAACAATGATACAAATTGTTAACAACTCATTAGCTATCTGTTCAGTACAGCAGAAAACATGTTCATTTATGTCACCAACTCCTCAATAATTTTTTTAGAATAGCAAAAAGCATGCTGTACTTTCACAACAACTCACCAGGAAATCTACTTTCCAATCTAGCAAAAAACATGCTATAAAATGTCAGTATATGTCTGTAAGCTTTCCATGGAAGCACACAGCATGCTTTAAGGTGGCAATTTAAATCATAAACTGTTCTGTATGTGTTAAACAATAAAATGCTTTCTTTGTTTGTTAGTACGGGGATTAATGTAGCAGCTGTTGCAGAAAAAATACATGACCCGTGTAAGCAGGTTATGTAAATTTTTGTGTCAAGTACTCACCAGTAAATTGTCCAATATAGCAGAATGTATACTGGAACATATCAAGAGCAGATGGATTGATGGACTTGTACTGTCTCCAGTAGGCTTTATCCTCAGCGCAGGTCACATCTTTATTCCACGCTTCTGTGCAGGAATCATGAATTTCAAATGCCAATCCAACTAACTTGAAATATAAATATTACTCATTATCATAAAATAATAGTGCTGATACTAATGCTCTAGAACATTAACTAATTTTTATATATCACATATTAAACTCAGTCCCCGAGCTCGAGTTCTGATGTATAAAGTGAGAGAGAGGAGTGGCTTCTGATCTGACGTGTTATAAGTATCATAAGTATACTAACAAGGACATGTTTGTAGGGGAATTTTTTTGATGAATTTGTGACTGATATCTCATTTAGAATAGCTGTTGTTCAGACTCCTTTAAAAAGCTGCATGACACATTTTGATTCCCTTAAACGGTTTTTATCATATCTCAAAATTTTTCAATAACAAAGTTTACATGTTGTGAAAATCATCCATCAAAATTTTTGGTCAATCCTGGTCAATCAAAGTACTTACTGTGTTTACAAATCAGCTCGATGGCTCTGTCTATTAAACCTCCTAGAAATTAATTGGGTAATTGACAGATAGTTAGATATAATTTAATTGTGGTTTTTGGATGAAAAATGTGCACAGGAATTAAAGGTTTTAGGAAGTTTTTTTTTACATGCTGGGCACATGGTCGGTGCTAGGATTTGTCTCCATTTAGAGAAATCGTTTATGTATGATCACTTTTTTTTCTGTATTATAAAAGATCTAATGAAAATGGTACTTTTAAAACTAAAAAAAAGGATACCAACATGCATTTTAAAAGTCACACACACCTCATCTACTTAAGTATTGTCAAGTTTGAAGTGTCCTTTCTAGTGTATGTATATGATATTCACTGCTGGAACTGATAGAATTCAGATATGTTTATAAAATTAATGTATAATTTATTAAAAATAATGAAGAAAGAAAACTCATAATTTTCATTTTTGTTAATATTTATGAAGTGAAATGTTAATAATTCGGTCTATTTAGTTGAAGCCTGCAGGGAGTTGTCAACAACTTTGTCTTCCATGCCATCTGCCCTTTTCACGGTATGTTTTTTGTTTTTGTTTTCCTCTGTGGTAGATGTTAATACATACATGTAAAATATGGAGTGTCCGTATCAGACTTGTCGAAATTTTTTAACCACTGTCAGACATTTGGTCTGACAAAGTGGAATGTTCTGTCAGACCAGTCAAAGTTTTGTCAGACCAGATACTTGTACCTTATTTCGTCGCTGAGAAAGACATATGAGTAACAGCAACAAAGTGCCCTTTATCATTTACAATAGCCTTCTATCTGACAAGTTTCTTATCTTGGGATAGAGATTGAGTCTTTAACATAATTTAGACATTAATGACATGTTTAATGACTTTGCTATAACAAAGTTAATTGGCTATAATCGTCAACATACCGCGTATGCAGCCATTTTTTTTGTGTTTGTGACCTTTAACTATGCATCCCGATCTTTATCAAATTTGCATTACGCTAATTTTTTTCAAACGGCCATCTGTTTTCTTAAATGTTATCAGTCCAGACAAATTTTTACTGGCCTTGCTGAAAGGACCAACGGATTTTAACAAGTCAGGTCCATAGTCAAAGTCATATCGTCAATTTTAAAATTCCTTCCAACCTAGTTGTGCATTCTTTGTATTTGAATAAAATTTCATCTGGTAAAATGTTTTCTTAAGATATGCTTTACAAGTTCTAATACCTTCTATTTCCACTATAAGGGAAGAGTTATACTTTTTAGTTCGCTCTTTTGACAAAAAGTCGGAAAATGTACAGATCTCGTGGGATTTCTGGGACAAACATAATACACGTAATTATAAACATGTAAACAATACGCTGAATGTCGATCAACAAATCCTAACAAAATGCAATTGAAATATTTTATTGTTGTTGTTGACTTTATAAACATCAAGAGAAGAAATAACAACGATATCAATTCATATCTGTTCCAAAATGTTGAAATTTTTAATTAATGGATGATGAATTTAGTGTTCTTGCTCTAGCTTACATTTGTTTTTTAGTTCTTCTATTCTTTAATTGGGATGACAAATATATGGTAAAGTTGGCCTAATCATGTTTACCGGTATTCTTACCCGAAGTGTTACAAAGAGTTGCACGGCATTTGATAGTGGTGAAACTTGTGGTATTCCAAAATGATGACATGTTCTGAAGAATGCAAGATACCCAAAGCACCATACAAATGCATATATGTGGCATTTCCTGCAAAAAGAAAAAAAAAGTGTAATTCAAGTTATTGATGGGAATGACATACCATTCCACTGACCAGAACAGTCAAGAAGATAGTCTGAAAAATCTGACGTTTTCCTGGCTTTTTTACGATTTTGATATTTTACATGCCAGAACCGGCGCCATTACGAAAACTTGAAATTTCGCCGTCTTCAACTGGAGTTGATTTTCGATAAATGTGAACCGAACTAAATGCTGAAATCAGAATTTATCAAAACCACAATGCCTCTAGTACTCACCAATATCGATGAAAAGATTAAACATCACTCCACATTTCGTAACAGGACATGCAAGATTTTAAAATGCACGATTTGAAGACAAATCTCGACAGTGTGATAAAACCTTTTTCAACGGATTATTTATTTCTTATAAATGAACCATAAAAGCTATATTGGTAAGTTCTTTAAGTATTGTACTATTGATAACTTTGAAATTTAATTCAGTTCGCAAGTATTTAAAATCAACTCGAGAATGCCGCCTCCGGTTGGGGGCAGCGATTCACCAGTTCAGGTAATGTCGCCGGTTCTGACGTTTTCCTGGCATGTAAAATATTAAAATCATAAACAAGAGGCCCATGGGCCACATCGCTCACCTGAGTAACTTGGGTGATGCAGATCTTTTTAAAAGATTTGTTCTATATATATTTCTATGTAAAACTTGGATTCCCCATTGTGGCCCCGCCCTACGCCCGAGGGTCATGATTTTAACAATTTAATATCTACACTACTCAAGGATGCTTCCACATAAGTTTCATTTCCTGGCCTAGTGGTTCTTGACAATAAATTTCTATGTAAAACTTGGATTCCCTATTGTGGCCCCGCCCTACCCCCGGGGGTCATGATTTTTACAATTTAATATCTACACTACCAAAGGATGCTCCCACATTTTCAGCTTTCCTGGCCAAGTGGTTCTTGAGAAGAAGATTTTTAAAGATTTGTTCTATATATTTCTATGTAAAACTTGGATTCCCTATTGTGGCCCCACCCTAACCTCGGGGGTCATGATTTTAACAATTTAATATCTACACTACCCAAGGATGCTTCCACGTAAGTTTCAGCTTTCCTGGCCCAGTGGTTCTTGAGAAGAAGATTTTTAAAAATTTGTTCTATATATTTCCATGTAAAATTTGGATTCCCTATTGTGGCCCCGCCCTACCCCCGGGGGTCATGATTTTAACAATTTAATATCTACACTACCCAAGGATGCTCCCACATAAGTTTCAGCTTTCCTGGCCCAGTGGTTCTTGAGAAGAAGATTTTTAAAGATTTATTCTATATATTTCTAGGTTAAACTTGGATTCCCTATTGTGGCCCCGCCCTATCATGATTTTTAAATTTAATATTACACTTGCTTCCAATAAGTTTCAGCTTTTCTGGCCCAGTGGTTCTTGAGAAGAAGATTTTTTAAGATTTGTTCTATATATTTCTATGTAAAACTTGGATTCCCTATTGGGGCCCCGCCCTACCCCCGGGGGTCATGATTTTAACAATTTAATATCTACACTACCCGAGGATGCTTCCACAAAAATTTCAGCTTTTCTGGCCCATTGGTTCTTGAGAAGAAGATTTTTTAATGACCCCACCCTATTTTCGTATTTTCTTGATTATCTCCCCTTGGAAGGGGTCTTGGCCCTTGATTTTAACAATTTACATTCCCCTTCACCCAAGGATGCTTTGTACCAAGTTTGGTTAAAATTGGCCCAGTGGTTCTTGAAAGAAGTAAAATTAAAAGTTTACATAAAAAAAAGCTCACTTGAGAAAAAAAGCCAGGAAAACGTCAGATTTTTTGGACTATCAAGAAGACTGTACTTGTAACTACACAAATTGGTCATATTGATAAAATAATTGCAAAACCCCCATTTCAGTCCTTCAAATAATCTAAAAAAAGTTTTTAAATTTTTTTTTATTTGTCCAATTGTAAAGAAAGTGTAAAGAAAACCAGAAGTCTCTGTCAAGACTGTAGTTCTACTGGTTTGTACTTATAATAAAAAAAGAGAAAATTAGAAGTTGGGACAGGAAACTTTACAAAAGCAATAAATAGAATAATGATGCTTGATTAAGTCTCTTTTTGTGGAAAAATTGAAAGAAGACTACAACTGTAGGAGTAGCCTTTAATAAAATGTTGTAGAATTTTCAAATTCAGTTCCCATGGCAACACCGTTCATCTAAATCAAAAATACAAAACTGATAATTATGTATCTCAGTGTAGACTACTTGCATGCCAAGTTATACTGAAATCAGATCAAAACACTGTAGCAGGAGTAGCATTTTAGAAGTATTTCACAAATATTTCTGTTTTTAGTAACCACAGCAACACAGTTCATCGAAATCTTAAACCGATAAACAGAATTATGTATCTAAGTGTTGTCTACTTGTGTGCCAAGTTATACTGAAATCAGAACAAAACTGTAGAAGTAGCATTTCAAAAATATTTCACAGAAATGTCTATTTTTAGTGACCATGGCAACATTGTTCATCAAAATCAAAAACCGATAATCAGAATTATGTATCTTAGTGTAGTCTACTTCTGTGCCAAGATATATTGAAATCAGACCAAAACTCTAGGAGAAGTAGCATTTTAAAATTAACTCACAGAAATTTTTATTTTTTAGTAACCATAGCAACACCGTACATCAAAACCGATACATAGAATTATGTATATTAGTGCAGTCTACTTGTGTGCCAAGATATATTGAAATCAGACCAATTTAAAAGTATTTCATAATTTCTATTTTTAGTAAGGATGTCAAATCGGTCAATTTTTAATACTCAGTTACTCAGACGTTTTTCCGATCGAGTACCCGGGTATTCGATAAAAGTCTAAATCGATATCAACAAGTTAATTGATAACTGTAAAACATTGTAAACTCTTGTAGGAATAAAACCACATGGTCTGATGGGAGGTTTACCTGTAAATGTGTTATACTGGTACCCTGACATTGGTTAACGGGTGCAAGCGCCTTGTAATTCCTAGCGGCAGTACGTGACTGGAATCAAGGGCAGAGAACCAGTGCTATAAATGTATTGTTACAATTATGACCTTTTGTGCCCGACGAAATTTAATCTAACAATTTTTTAAAGTTCAATTTATTTATCAGATAAATACGAGAAGTAAAATCATAAATGGTTCACAGTGGTTTTGTTTAAAAAAATAATTTGTTCCCTAATTGTAATGTAATTCTTTGATGCGTTTGACGTCCAAGTGATAAGTTGATCAAGTTCTCCTATAACAGAGTGGATTAAAGATCTTGGTACACTTTTCGATCCTAGATTTCATAAAATTACGAGATGGTATGTTGTAGTTTAGTGCAACGATGGACAAAAGATCATAAGATTTTTACGGCTTCTGGAGAATTGAAAAATATTATCTAATTTTTTTTAAACATAATAGACCTTAAACGATGTTCAACAAAAACAAATAATTAAATCAAACTAAACATAAGGGTAGAAGACAGCCTGAAGGTGAGAAAAGCCAGGTAGGTAACAGGTGCCTGGTCAAGGTAATTATTGTATAAACACTGCCACAGGCAATAACGGTCATTTAGAGACGCAGGAAACCCTAATTACAGTATGTTCAAGTGCAATGAACATTTTACGTTTTAAAACCGATGTTTTAATGCAGTAATAAATAAGCCTAGAAATATTTAAAAATATACATCTGAGTAACCGAGTACTGATTTTAGTATTCGATACTCGGACATTCAATCGAGTACCCGGTTAACTGGGTACTTGTTGGCATCCCTAATTTTTAGTAACCATGGCAACACCGTTCATTGAAATCAAAAACTGATACACAGAATTATGTATCTTAATATAGTCTAGTTGTGTGCCAAGTTATATTAAAATCAGCACATAACTGTAGGAGGAGTAGCATTTTACAAGAGGCCCAGAGGCCACAACGCTCACCTGAGCACATTGGCAAGGGAAAAGCACAAATCAGATCAGAATTGAAAAGTTTACTCAGGGGGTGGGGGAGGGGGCTTGAATTCTAATACTACTTGAGAATGCCCTTATATCAATTCTGCATATAACTTCTTGAGAAGGTTCTTGAGAAAAAGATTTTTATAGATTTTTTTTTACCATCTTGTTTGTATATATGTGTATTACTTTGTAATAATTAAAATTTGATTCCAATTGTGTCTCTCCCTACCCCAAAGGGTACTCATGATTTGAACAAATTTAATTCTACACTACCTGAGGATGCTTCCATATAAATATCACTAATCATGGCTTTGCTATTCCTTAGAAAAAGATTTTTAAAAATATATTTTTATATTAATGTAAAACTTGGATACCCCATTGTGGCCCCACCCTAGGGGTTATGATCTGAACAACCTAGAATCTATATATTTATCACTAATCATGGCTTTGCAGTACTGGAGAAGAAAATTTTTAAAGATTTCCCTAAATATTCCTATGAAACTTTGATCGGCCATTGTGGCCCCATCCCTACCCCCGGGGGTGATGTTTTGAACAAACTTGAATGTACACTACCTGAGGTTGATTCAACATGAGTTTCATCTTTCCTGCCCCTATGGATCTTGAGAAGAAGATTTTTAAAGATTTTTTCAATATATTCCTATGTAAAACTTTGATCGGCCATTGTGGCCCCATCCCCGGGGGTCATGATTTGAACAAACTTAAATCTTCATTACCTGAGGATAATTCCACACGAGTTTTATCTTTCCTGGCCCAGTGGTTTGTGAGAAGAAGATTTTTTTAAAATGCCATTAATTTTTCACTTATTCATAATTAACTCCCCTTGGAAGCGGGTGTGGCCCTTCATTTGAACAAACTTGAATCCCCTTTACCCAAGAATACTTTTTAGCAAGTTTGGTTGAAATTGGTCCAGTGGTTCTTGAGAAGATGAAAATGTGAAAAGTTTACAACAACAATGACAACAACCGACAAATTTTTATCAGAAAAGCCTATTTGAGCCTTCAGCTCAGCTGAGCGAAAAAGTATTTCATAAATTTCTACTTTTAGTAACCAGCAACACTGTTCATCGAAATCAAAAACCGATAAACAGAATTATGTATCTTAGTGTAGCCTACTTCAGTATTATTGAAATTAGACCAAAACTGTAGGAGTAGCATTTTGAAAAATTGTTTAACAGACAGACAGAGAGACGGACCGACGCATTACTATTGCATAAGCTCTTTTGGTTTCTGACCAGTAGAGCTAAAAATCACAGCATATGACACTGTTTAGGGAGAGGGCGTCATAAGTTTTTAGAACTTGTGCCCAATCCCTTTGTAATTAGAAATTACAATAAAATATGTTCAAACCATGACACCCCACAGTCACAGATATAATTGGGCCGGTGGTTTTTGTATTCCTCCTTAACTCCCAATTTAGTAGGGGGAATTAACCCCAGGTACCCTTCTTTCCAGATATCTCCTTCTATTCTAATAAGGACAGCTGTGTATAATTTAAACAGACTCAACGTTGCTCCTTGCAGAATCCTCAACTCAGGAGTCAAAATATCTTCGCTAGCCAAGGGTTTCTGATACGCTACTCTTCTCATAATCCCTTGGCATTTGGTGTTGATAGAAGTTGGGTTTTTTTTCTTGAGTTCTGACTGGGATATGGTCAACTGGTCCACCAATCAGCAATTGTTTTTTGTAAATGACGATATTTGCGTTTGGGATACTTCTTGACTCTTTAATCTCGGAAATGAAAAACGCAAGTAAGCAATGATCCGTAAGATAACATTCAATTCTATGAATAGCTATGGTGTCATTCAGTATCTTCTAAATATGTGATTAAGAATCTATATTGAAGCTTCAGATTTGTACTATAAATAATAAATAAACATAATTCAATTACTGTTTCTTCATTATTCGATCTTTAAAAAAAATTTTGATTTATTTTTTTTTAAAACATGCGTCTTTGTTTCTGTCGATGACGCAATCTGTGCATACCCGATAGATTTGACATCACCTGAAGAAAACAATCCCGTCTTTTGACTTCACCGTATGCCAAGGGTACAGAAACCCTTGGCTAGTGAAGAAGGAGTCAAAAGTGCTAATTTTGGTTTTGGGTCGGTTTTTTTTAATGATATTGGTACTACAATCGAGCTATACTTCCGATAATTTAAACTAGCTCTGACCATAAAATAACTAGCCCCTACCAAACATGCAAATCGAAAATTTTAATGAGGTAACATGTTTACATGTATGAGGGTATCGTTATATTGCATTTGTTGTTTATAAAGGCGAACCAGGAAACAAGAGTTAAGTAGTTACATATACACACGTACTTGAAGTAAATTTTAGGCAAGCCATTCTAATTTACACATCATTAAATTTATGTAACTTTTAATTTATTTTCAATTGTTGCATTGAATGAATAAAGACATATGTATGTTTTATTTGTCCTCCACAACAATATACCAGACTGATAGATTGTACATTACAATAACTTTTACAAAAAACTACTGAATAAACCATCTGTTACAATAAATAGAAATTAGAATGTGCTGTAAGTCACATATATATAGGAGGAAACATGAGGAATGGCGTAAAAGCAAGTAAAATAAAAAGACGACAATATTCCCAGGACTTTGGCGAATTCTAAATGCCGAGTATATCTCCATCAGTTTACCTTATACACACGTACAACGCCATTCCACATCAACAACAATTTGATAAAATTTTTATATCTAAAAATGTTCACCAATGTTACAGCGACAGGGTGTAAACTATGACGACCGATAGTGATTAACGCCACTACAACCCCCATCAATGTGCAGGCTAGTTTTTTTGCCTCTGGGTATGATATTTGTTTCACTAACAGTCCACAGGGCACTGACAATACCAGAATAATGGAATAAACGACATCGTCCGTTACCTCCACCATTTTCTGGTCCTCTTTCATGAGAGAACCAGCTTACAGGTTGTACATTTCCTGCCTCTAGTGACTGAAGAGTTAAGCGGCAGGTTTCAACATCCTCATCATGACCATAAAGTGCATTGTAATACACTTCACTTTCACTGTTACATGTACTGTATACTGAATATAATCTTAAGACACCAAACCATAATTGTTACCTGGGTAGGATCAATGCAAATTGTGCTGGAAGTTTGGAACAGGTAACTTTTCGTCATTTAATATAGGAAAAACATTTTTAGCTCACCTGGCCCGAGGATTATAAAACAGCTAGACTTAACAAGGCCCAACCTGGTTGAAAATTACGAAAACGGACTGATAATTTGTTTTTTTTATTTTTGGAAATATATTTGTATGTATTGTGTTAAGAAAAAAAGAATGAAATTTTTATCACCTAGCTTGCATTTATTGTAGTGAAATGGGGGTAATATTTCAAAATATGGACCATTTTTCGTGATTCTATACACATACCTGATTTTATATCATAAAACTACCTAAAAGACAAAGGAATTAACAAATTGAAAAAGAATAGTAAATGATGAAATGTTATGTCTTTCACATATATTATTTTTTACTGTGTCACCGTTGGGGCTTGCGCAGTCAGAACTACAATAGTTTTACCATTGTTTACCGGTAACGAATATTTGCCAGTATCGAACATTTTTTAAAATTGAAATATTCAAGAAAAACATAGTATCGGGTTTAAAAAATCTTACTAGGTATAAATACAATAAAAGGATAAAATTGCAGTGGCGGATCCAGAAGTTCATGTGGGGGGGGGGGGGGTTTGAGGCCCAAAGGGCCGAAGGGGGAGGGCATGGGAGGGGGTGTACTGAGCAGCACCGTAACTATGCAGTTTTCTGTTGTTGGTACCTAACTACATTGTACTGTGATCTTGTGACTTCACTAGATGCACAGACTACCCGATCTCTGAGGCACTCTCTCTGTTGATTACCTGTGTATTGTGTGCATTCAAGCGGAAAGAGATTTCCTGTTACGTAGTGGATGTATATTTCACAGTTGTACAAACAAAGGGTTTATGTTTATTAGAGTCTTATCAATGCAACAAAATGACAAAATGACACTTGTAAAAAAAAAATCAATGAGCGGGGGGGGTTTTCCCGAACCCCCCCAAACCCCCCTGAATACGCCCTTGAAATTGTCATTTTGTTCACGCTTCTTCTTGTAAACCACTCAAAACTGAATCTTGATATTTTCAGGGATGATAAAATATCTCTTTGAGTTATGCATGATGTCTTGATTTTGCATCCATCACTTCCAGTTGACACAGGAAGTGATGCTAAATTTTAAGATTTTTTGAAAAATTTAACCATTTTGAATAAAGGTAATAAGAACATATGTTCACATTCATAATCATCAACGAAACGCATCCATTGTAATAACTTCCGGTGTAAACAGGAAGTAGTTAAAAAAATGAAACTTTCTCTTTTGAATCAAAAGAAATAGAATAAAATGGTTTAAATTGGGAAATAATGCCTGAATTGTGTAAATTAGTCATTAATGATGTCACTTCCGATCAAAACAGAAGTAGTCAGAAAATGCAAATTTTTGCAATTTTTGACATGTTACTATACATAGTTAATTTATGGCACAAGAAATGTCTAACCAAAGTTTCCATCCCTTGACATCACTTTCGTTCAAAACGGAAGTAGCCAAAATTAGCCTTTTTTGCAGGTTTTGATGCAAAATTAAAGATAGTAAATTTTAAAGTCACTGGAGGGCGCCTTTACTCATTGCTTTCTCTTGTTGACGTAATTTCCAGTCAAAACTGGACGGAAGAGTTTAGACCTACTCGTTGCTTTGCAATGAGCTTTGCTCTTGTTATTTCTGTGATAGGAGAGTATCGGTTTTTGATTTCAATGAATGGTATTGCCTTGGTAAAATAGAAATTTCTATGAAATCCTTTGTATTTAAAGCTACTCTTCCAACAAATTTGGTCTGATTTTAGTATAACTTGGCACAGAAGTAGACTACACTAAGATTACATAATTCTGGTTATCGTTGTTTGATTTCAATCAACAGTGTTGCTGTGGTTACTAAAAATAAGAATTTCCGTAAAATCCCCTCAAAATTCTACTTTTCCTACAATTTTGGTCTGATTTCAATATGACTTGGCACACAAGTAGACTACACTAAGATGCATAATTCTGTGTATTGGTTTTTGATTTTGATGAGTGGTATTGCTGTGGTTACTGAAAACAGAAACTATTGTGAAATCCTTTCAAAATGCTACCGGTACTCCTCCCACAGTTTTGATTTCAATGTAACTTGGCTCATTAGTAGAATACACTAGGATACATAATTCTATATATCAATTTATGATTTCGATGAATGGTGTTGCAGTGGTTACTAAAAATTAGTTTTGGCAAATCGGGTGATTTTTAATAACTAGTTACTCGCTTAATCTTCAGATCGAGTACCCAGTTACTTGGATGATTTTTAGGTCACCTGAGTCACTCAGTTGACCTATTCTATCTGTTTTTGTCTGTCGTACGTCGTTCGTCGTCAATCAGTTGTAAACTTTTGAGCATTTTTAGTTTCTTCTCTGCAACCACTCAATCACTTTCCACGAAATTTGGAATAAAGCATCTGTGGGTGATGGGGAATGAAAATTGTGATTTTCATTGTGCCTGGGGTCTGAGGGGTGGGGCCAAAACCACTAAAATTAATGCTATCTCTAAAAATCTTCTTCTTTACTCCTTGACATCAAGCAGTCAAACTGTTAGAATGAATGTAATGACCATTGAGTCCTCTACCAAAATTGTGAAATTCATGGCCCCAGGGTCAGGAGTTCTTGTGCTAGGATGGGGCTCTATTGATTAAATAGTGAAACTGCATTACCGTAAATCTGGAAATTTTTACGTCAATTTTATTTTGCGAATTCGGGTCAAAATGCAGTTGATTAATTTTTACGTTTCAGAATTTTGCGAATGACCACTGTTTTGTTTACATTTTCTTATTGGTAATTTTTAATATTTTTAAGAAAATATTTTTGCGAATGCAATGAACCTGCAAATTTGCTAAAAATTTATCTACAGCAAAAATTTCCAGATTTACGGTATTTCTTTAAAATTCTTCTTCTCTGCTCCTGGGTATTAAATAAACTAACTTACCGTAGTAGAGAGTTATAGTGAGGAAGAATGCCTGTTCCAAAATTTTGAATTCTATGGCCCCAAGGTCAGGGGTTCTGGTGTTAGGGCTGGGCTCTATTGATTATATAGTGAAAATTCATTAAATCTTTGAAAATTTTCCTCTCTGCTCCTGGGTATTTAGCAGATGATCTACCTAATATATAGGTATGATGAGCAAGGGCCATTCTTCCTGAATTGTGAATTTCAAGGCCCCTGGGTCAGGGGTACCATAGTGGGGGTCTACTTATATACTGAAAATGAATTAATTGTTTGAAATCTGCTTCTTGGTATTAATCAAACATTTTTGATAAGCAAGGGTGCCTCTTCCAAAATTGTGAAATGTGTGGACCAAGGGTCAGGGGTTCATGTGTGGTAGTGGCACTACTGATTATTGCTGAATAATACTGATTAGTTAAAATGCTTTTTTTTGTTCCCCTACTCTGTCTGTGGGTATTAAGTAACCAAACTATAGACATGCTAAGTGTATAGTTATGATTAGCAGTGGTGCCTCTTTCAAAATTGTGAATGCCATGATGTCTAGTTGAAAACATGAATCAAATTCAATTGTTGGAAAGTTGTTGCAAAATGCTCAGGTGACCTATTAGGCCCATGGGCCTCTTCTTTTGTTATAGTTTCCGTATTTATTATTAATCTCATCCTTTTGCATACTGATAGAAATGAATAATAAATGTTACATGAACTTTATTTACAAATACAAACTCCAAAAAACACAATATCTTTAAAGAATTTTGATTGTCACTCGAAACGGGGAATTTGTTTTTGTTTAAGAAAATAATTTTATTGACACCTGAAGAAGATATATGATCAAGGAGAATTAACATACCCTGTAGCACTTTTCAATTACTGATTATTTTTGTTTAATTTCATTCAAATAACTGGTTATCAAATTATTTTTCAATATTAGGCGATTTAGCATATTTGTAGTTCCACCCATATACGACAACTCCGATTCACATAAATTGCATCTGACAGATTTTGAGTCAGCTGTTCTTTAACAATATTTCCACGTTTTAGATGTGGCGGCATCTTATTAAAGTATGTTCCTCTGACTAACACAGGTCTAAATGAGGTAATTATAACTCAGGTCTTCAAAACGTGTACCACCTGGCAATTAAAGTCATCAATTAAACTAATCAAAACAAATCGATCCTATTTGTGAACCACTGTGACTAGGGTAAGCCTAACGGTAATTAAATTAGGGAAATGTGTCAATATACATTTACAAATAACAAAAAAATTATTTTATACATATTTACTATGAAAAATGTATTTTTATCCAAGTATCCAAATAGCAGTTTTACCAACCCATACTCGCATCGTTCGACGGTTAACCAGGTACTCATTGCCAACACTACTAAAAATAGAAATTTCTGTGAAATCCTTTCAAAATGCAACTCTTCCCACAGTTTTGGTCTGATTTCAATATAACTTGGAACACATGTAGAGTAGTAGACTATAGGATTTGGATGTAAACATGATACCCCTACCTAAATGAAAGATCTATATCTTTCATATTACACATCTATTAATCTATTTTTGTAGTATTCCGCAGACATTTCAGTGACTAGTTGCATGCAAAAATTAAAGTAAAACTTGGACATTTAATTTTTTGTCACTTATCGGGAGCCATATGACACCTCATCTTTTGTTTTGTAGAATAATTTGGATATATCTGATGTTTTTGTGATTGCAAGGGTGATAAGGGGATCTTAGGCCTGAACACTAATTTCATGTATATTAGCTAGTTCTAATATTAAGAGCCTGCTAAAAGGACAATAAAAGGTGGATTTCAATGTTATTTGTTGACTCAGGTAAGCTGAATGTGGTCATTTTATCTCTTGATTGGCTCCTATAGATTTGTAGAGGACCTGTGATAGCAATAGAGATGCAACACGTGTAGTGTTCATCTATTTATTGATCTCTACAATCAATTATCATATTCACAAATCTATAAATGTAGATTTTGTCTGCTGGGTCAGAACAGTGATCAAAAAGTCCATTTTCCAGATGTTAGATAAGGAGGGATAATAAAGAATGGAGTGGACAGGAGGAGTATAGGCACGCAGTGGAGGTTTTCCAATAATTTTCATTGATGCAGTAGTCATTGCAGGCCTCTCAGCCGACAGAAGTGATTGAAGTTGACTGAAGCAGATGTACAAAATTTCTTGTAAACATGCACACATAACAGCCACTGGAGTAGACATCCATATGTTTGATTTTTATTCTCTGTGGGACCGTGCAATTAAACTCTAGGTAAAAGTGAATACAACATTAGTTTTTTTTGTGATGGATGAGTTAATGAGCTGATCTGAATGGTGGATTCTTGTATTAATATTTCAGTGTGAAAAGCAAAGAAAACAAACATCTTTTCCTGGAGGCTGCTGTTTTTTTTTTATTTTTAGGTTAGATGTGTGGAGGAAGGCAGCAAGAATTAACTGGAAAAAGGCAAATTAAGAACGGCAATGTTATTGATTCTTGCTGTAGAGATCATTTGTTTAATGATTTTTACAGAAATGTGTTAATTAAAGAGTTGGAGAAAGAGGGACCAGCAGCATGCACATTTGAGAGGAGGAAGAAGATTAATGCATTAATTTCTTTCATCTTTTCAGAGGGAAACATGATGTAGTCTGGATTAAACAATTCAAGCTTTGGGACACAGATGTTCAAATTGAAGTAAGTCTTGCCAATTATTTTCAGGTAAATACAAATGTATAACTTCCATGTCTTAGAGACAGGTAGTTAATTGTAACTCTCTGTTTACCACAATATGTCAGACTTGATTCCGGTAGGAATGCTTATTTGTATACTTGTAGAGGTAAGGGGAGGCACTTCAGACTTTTGAATGAAAATAGAACTAATAAAAACAAGTGTAGCTGTATTTATGAGATAATGTAGATAATTAATAGTACTATTAGCATGCCTAATTTAGCAGTAATCACATTTTAGCAGCCTCCAATGGTTTCTTTTCCTTCAATTCAAATACATGCCAATATATGATTAAAGTGGATGGATATAGAAAAATATACTTATGATACTGGTGATCAGTGGCAAAGGCGCTTTAAATTTTAAGTACACCAACTATCATTCATCTTGATATTATATTGAAAGCATTCCATGTCGTGTGGGTTTAGGTTGGTTCAAATAATTTCCCTTTTAGAATTTATTTGATTTTTAAAAAAAAAAAATTAAAGTAAATTTTGCCACTGAAAAGATTTTTAATTCAATAGCATTTACTCATGTAACTGATATTTTGCCATTAGCATCTATACAAATGCATCACTTAATTATTATCAAACTCATATGAATATAATGGCAGTGCCCATGTTTTGCTTTGGAAAACCCAATTATGTGTCCGATCAGAAATTAAAATGGGAGGTGCACAATGGCAATATGTAATAAAGATTCTATGAAAGTTTCATCAAATTTCATTCATTGGTTATAAGAGGAGTAGCAGATAAGAGATGGATAACCGCAAAGTGTAAAGGAAGGACAGGCCTTGGGTATAATAAATAATCTTTTCATAGTGTTTAAGTCTATGACGTTTTTTAAAATGAAATATATTTCTGTAACTATACAATCAAAAGGGCAAGAGATTTTGTATTGAATATTATACAATTATGGAATCTTTCAGCAGTGATTAATATAAGTTTGGTAGTCACAAGAAAAATATTAATTACATATTGACCAAGGCAAAACTATAAGCCAATGGGGTATCCACCTAGCATTCTCTCTAAAGTCTAATTTTTTTTTTCAAAATACCATGAACAGTCCCTGAAACGTTCTACTTTCCCACCTGAATGGTGAATGAATGGTGAACGAACGGTGAGTGAACGATGTGCGAACGCTGAACGCAACTTGGTGAACGGTGAGTGAACGCAGATCATGAACAGAGCGCGAACGCAAGCGCAAAGTGAATGGTGAACGAACAGTGAACGCAAGATGAAGGATTTATTCGGAATGCCTCCAATCTTTTCCTTGCATTGAAATTATTCTATTATTCTATAATTCTAAATTCAAGTGCTAGAATATAAATAAACACTAGATAAATAAATAATAAAAACAATTTTTTCTGCACATGCATATGTTTTAAATCGATATTTTAATAACACAATTTTACTTGCCGTAAAACGTGTGTAGTATAAATATAAAATTAATCTACTTATATAGTAAATATGCTTATTGTTTTGACTAATAAAATAATGTGGACTGTAGAAGATAAAACTACTACTTATAGAATGAATTAATCACATTGTACCTGGTTGAAACAACCGTACATGAATTTCCGTGCCAAGGCGATTCTGAGTAAAATAACAGATTTTTTAAAAATTACAAATGTGTGTTGATGTATTGCATAAATATATACACTTGTATTTTAAAATTCTTATGCAAAATATTAAAATTCTATGTGTCATTTTTATTCTTTTATGATGATTTTTTAGTTTACTTCTTCATGTATCTGTAGATATTTCCCAGCCGTGATTATACTTGGACAAGATGATGGAAAGAGGCAATCAAATTATTTGTTATAGATTAAATTTTCAAAACTAAATAAGTAATTTGTTGTCATAGATTTTATTGAACAGAGAAATGTATGAGAGAGAGAGAGAGAGAGAGAGATACCTCCTTCGTTCTCAGATATCTGTTGTATCAAATAAAAATTCTTATTATTTTTCCTTAATTTTCCTAGCAGTAAAAGTAATCAATTTTTTAAGATTAACAAATCAATTTTACAGTATTCATCGGCTTTTGTTTTCCATCTTCAAGTTCACACGGTTCACAGGAAGTCCACGTGCTTGTCCTGTCAATCAAAATCATTTGACACAGTGGAAGTGTGGAAATCTCGTTTCACCGAACATGCCGAAGACAAAGAGTCACTTAGTATTTTCGAGAAGTTTAAATATTTTTTCCTATCATTTCTAGATCTGATTTTCACATTTCTGAAGAAAAAAAATAAATAATGGGAATATATACTTGGAAGGATTAAGTTTGAAATTGAATTTGAAACATATTCCCTGTCACGGCACATGTATATTTTGAAATACTATTGTTTAATACTGTTTTGATGTTTGTTTTAAGACTGATTTTCTTGTGCTACAATACACATTAAATATTGATTAAAATATACTGAAAATACTAACTAAAAATTTGATTTCGGGAAAAGGTGCCGGGGGGGGGGGGGGGGGGTTGTTAATCAAACATATATTTAGGTACAGTGATGGAAGGAATTTTTCCCTCTCTAATAATAGACTTAACGTAAAGTAGAAAAATTCTAATGTATTACATTTTTAACAGTTGGTCTTTTCTAAAATTTAAAATCACACTATCAATTTAATTAGCTCTAAAGATATTTAATTAACTGAATATCTGCAGTGCTGTTCATAATTCTCAGACCTACATGTAGTTCTAATATGTTTTCGTGCATTCTTTTTAAATATGTGTTAGAAGTATTTTTTTGTGTGTGTATTCTTGTCTTGTAAAAGACTTGGATTATTATCCATTCATTAACAATTTATTGTCTTTTACATTACAACAAAATGTTGCTGTGCTTGAAGCATTTGTACATTGCCCTTGTTTACATTTATTATTATAGCATCATTCTACATACATGTACATGTAGGTACTTAATGGATTATTTTCTATGGAAATTTCATGAATAAAGTAACAGCTAAGTTATAATAATAGGAATATAAATATAGTAGATACTTTTTACAATGAAATAATTATTCTAACGATATCTTAGCTATTTAATAAAAAAACTTGTAAATCCTTACCATCAAAAAGATAGGAAAAGGTGCCGGGGGGGGGGGGGGGGGGGGGGGGGGGGGGGGGGGGTTCTTAATCAAACATATATTTAGGTACAGTGATGGAAGGAATTTTTCCCTCACTAATAATAGACTTAACGTAAAGTAGAAAAATTCTAATGTATTACATTTTTAACAGTTGGTCTTTTCTAAAATTTAAAATCACACTATCAATTTAATTAGCTCTAAAGATATTTAATTAACTGAATATCTGCAGTGCTGTTCATAATTCTCAGACCTACATGTAGTTCTAATATGTTTTCGTGCATTCTTTTTAAATATGTGTTAGAAGTATTTTTTTTGTGTGTGTATTCTTGTCTTGTAAAAGACTTGGATTATTATCCATTCATTAACAATTTGTTGTCTTTTACATTACAACAAAATGTTGCTGTGCTTGAAGCATTTGTACATTGCCCTTGTTTACATTTATTATTATAGCATCGTTCTACATACATGTACATGTAGGTACTTAATGGATTATTTTCTATGGAAATTTCATGAATAAAGTAACAGCTAAGTTATAATAATAGGAATATAAATATAGTAGATACTTTTTACAATGAAATAATTATTCTAAAGATATCTTAGCTATTTAATAAAAAAACTTGTAAATCCTTACCATCAAAAAGATAAGTCCTTTCACTCCAGAGTTCCGAATGACAATGAAGACTGAACGATAAGTGAACAGTGAATGCAAGGTGAACGCAAAGTAAACGGAACGAAAAGCAAACGGCGAACGCGAACGCACGTTGAACAGTGAACACAAAACTGTGAACGGAGAGCAAACGTTAAACGCACGCTGAACGAATGCTGAACGAATGGTGAGCGAACGGAAAAATGGGAAAGTAGAACGTTTCAGGGACTGTACAACAGTTTTTTCATCTGAGCCAATTGTCTTGTAGTAAGGTATATCTTGCCTCGTGATAAGATGAATAACTATGGGTTTAATGCCAAGAAAGGACCTAACTTTCACATATACACAGGTGCTTATGGACAGGACCCCTACCCCCCTGAATATACACCCCAGGTCCAAGGATATTTTTATTTATCTTCTTAGCTCACCTGAGCCGAAGGTTACCGGTATAAAGAGCTTTTCTGATTGAGATTTGTTTACTGTCTGTCATTGTTGTCATTAATTGTTGTAAAATTTTCACAATTTCATCTTTTTCTCCAAAACTACATGACCAATTTTAGCCAAACTAGACACAGAGTATTTTTGGTTAAGGGGATTAATTTTGTTTAAATGAAGGGCCACACCCTCAAATTGGAAAATAATCACAAAATAGCAAAAAATAAATGGCATCATTAAAAAATCTCCTTCTCAATAACATAAGAAAAATAAATGGCACCATTCAAAAATCTTCTTGACTTCTCATTAACCAGTGGGACAGAGAAGATGGAGAAGATGAAACTCATGTGATAGTGAACATTCAAGTTTGTTCAAATCATGACCCCCTTGTGTAGGGTGGGGTCTCAATGGGGTATCAAAGTTTAACATAGAAAAACATAAAAAAAAATCTTTAAAAATCTTTTTCTCAAAGACAGCAAAGCTGTCTTTGGTCATAGTTATATGGAAACATCCTCTGAAAGTGTGGATTGAAGTTTGTTCAAATCATGACCCTCTGGGGTAGGGGGGGCACAAAGTGGGTCAAAGTTTTACATAGGAATACATAGGAAAAATCTTTAAAAATCTTCTTCTCAAGAACAGCAAAGCCATGAATAGTCGTAGTTATATGGAAGCATCCTGGAGTAGTGTAGATTCAAGTTTGTTCAAATCATGACCCCCAGGAGTAGAGTGGGGCCAAAATGGGGTATCAGTTTTACATAGGAAAACATTGGATAAAATCATAAAAATTCTTCACAAAGCCATGA